ATATAAATAAACATTATAACATTAACTTTTCATTCAAATTATATTCAGATTTGAAGCAATTGCTTATATACAAATTATTGCAATCTATATTATCTCTTATCTTCTAATTATCTTCTAAATATTAATTTTATTAATTTTCTAATAGAATTTTATTTGTATTTAATTTATATATTTAATTTTTTATCGATTTAATTAAAATTTATTATCAAATTTTTACGATCTTCATATCCATATCCATTTTAGCAACAGACACTTCAGGTGGACCTACGCCAGAGGAACTTTGGAAGTTATTGGATCAATGTGATCTAAGTAACAGCCACTGCTCCACGCCTTGTATTAGTCCATCACCTTCATTGATCGCAGCTGGACCTAGAATTAAGTCCAGCAACGTATTATTTCTCAATCAATCACAAAATTCAGATGCAATACCTGGACCAAGTCAAACATAAAAGTGTGCTCAATCAAATCTTAAATCGTGCCTTGCAAATGCACGCAATCAGAATCTGCATTTAATTGATCATTTATTTATTAATGAATCACTTTAAACCATCAAAAACAAAGTCTGTAGCCATAGTTCCTAAATCAATATCTTTGCATTCATGTATAATGAAACCGAAGTTCATTATTTATCTTAAATGGTGCAATCTAAAAGCAATGTAGCAAAGTAAATGACTGCGCTACAAACTTTTATAGCTATATAATTATAAACTGAAGCCATTAAAGTTGAAATCGGTATTTTAATGTTAATGGCACATTTGTTCTACGTAAATGTATATGATGAGTGATGTGATTATTTATTAAACTATCTTTAAGAGAGTTTGATAATATCAATATTGTTTTTTTGAATAGACCAAAAGTATCTATTTATTGTTAATAAATCATGTAACAACATTTTTGGGGAAATGTATTTTTTATGAAATTTTATTAATATCTAAGAATTTAGACGTTTTTTTCTTGTTTACTGTTTTGAAATGGCTATCAAATTCTCTTAAGAGAGATCGATTTTACAATATTCATATTGTTCAACGTAAACTTTTATATTTTGTTTCGTGTAAATCTGTTTAATAAGATAAGTTAATAAGTTAGTATAAAGGGAAAGACTAAATTAGTAAAATGATGAATTGATGATAACATAAGTTGAACATTTTGTTTAGAGTTATATATTCTGTTTTGTTATAAAAATGAATCATACAAAATGATCATACACAAATCATGTTACTTGTAATGTCATTTTGATGTCTCGAAACATATTGAAAGATTAATACTCTCCAATTTTGATAGACATTTGTATCGTAAATCAATGTGACTATAGTTCTATATAAATTTCTATATAGCAATTTTGTGCTTCAACTATGTAAAACACTTAAGATTATTTCAACGTTGTATCACTATCAGCGTTTCATGCCCTGAATATCATTTAAGAAGTTGACTTTGACCACTTATTTCTCGATTAACGAATGGTATACATTGTACATGCAATTAAAAGAGTAACCATATTTCGAAACTGAATTGCATTTCGTTATATACATAAATACTTTTAGCTTCACTACATATATAATGTATACGCATTCGCACCGATGTACATATACATATATAAAACGTATAATAATGTTGTTGCGTAACCGCGTTACTTCTGTGATTTAAATAAACTATTGGTATGTGTATAGCGGTATCGCTTATCGTTTGAATATCTCACTGCCATTGTATATATGGACATCGTATATACACTATACATACAGACTGTTATAAAAGTAGACGGTTAGAAACATTGTTTTAGAAACTTTTCTTAATAGATTACACTAATTATAATCTATGTTACAAGTTCTGTTTATAAAAATTTCTCTTTTTCTGTCTGAAAATATCGAGAACGTTTAACGTGATTATGAAATAATGTGATGTCATAGCATACAGACGTATGTAACAATTTGTAAATAATTAGCGCTAGATTCTTCGCATCTTGGTTTTGCGAACAAGTTTATCTATCTAACAGTTGTGACGATTTGTAATCAACTATAAAAGTCTGACTTTTAGGCACTACGGTGATATACTTTGTAACAATGCATGATCAATTAAACTATAGATATACCATTTTATGGAATATATAGTTGAAATTAGTCTAAAGTCATTTTAGTTTTCACGATATTCTTCGACAGATAAGTATTGTACTCTGTTAGACATAAATACAAAATATCACACAACAATGTAAATCGATGGAACAGTTATGATAAATTCTGCGTAAAAACATTTAATCCTATTTGTTAGATCCTAATATTTGTTAAAAATTAGATGTATCTCATATAAAGTTTTTAGTCCAGAATAAATTATTATTGAACAATGATGGATGAGTCATCGGCATCAACAAGAAACACCAGGCGACCAAGCCAATCACAAACAGACACATCAGTCCGGCTCTTTTCAAAGGATCTTTGTACGCTGCTATTTCAGAAAGATCGGGAAATCCCATGTGATTACAGAATGAATGCGCGGCGAACGGTGCGACAAAGTGTCCTAAGAAGAAAAAAAATGAAATTAAAATCTCGCTTATAATTTCAGAATAAGAAAGAAAAATGAAATGATTCCACCTGTCCTCGCGAAAAGAAAGGCCGCGTACGCTCCGAATATCGTCGTGTATGCAGACTGAAAACCTAAATTCAACACAATGCAATTAGTTTCAGTTCATTGAATACCATGGATTCCTAGAATCTCTTCAAAACTCACAGGATATAAACAATGCATGCTTGATGCTCATTCCCATCTTTACCCTCTCCACTACGTGATGGAAGTGAGCTACTCCGAAGAACAGGGGGCATACGAATATGGCAGTAGTCGGTGTGAAACATTGCAGGAGCAACGGCAACATACAGGCTCTGAAGGTCCACTCCTCAGACAGCGGAGCGACCACTTGGTTTCTCCACCAAGTTAGAGTTCGTACGCTTCCCAGCCAATACATAGGTTCTAAGAAAAATGTGTATTTATTAGTTGTTGGTTGATTTTTAGGATTTTAGTTGGATTTGGGATACCAACCGGTGTACAATCGCCACAGCCCGTTGAATCCCTGCAGGCTCAAGGGACCCAGGAACAAGATCATCGTCAGGAGTAACGATATCACAGTCGCCTGTATCAAACCCGACCATCGAAGACCCAACATGTCCCAAATAGTTCCCTATTAGATACAATGAAAAATGATGATCTGATAGAATAGACTGGATCGCATTTATATAAACAGGAAATACCTTTTGAAACACTTTTTCATTTAGTCCAAAATACAAGGGTGCTGGTGAAACTAGAGTCATGATAAATACGCTAAAAAATCTTTTCTTTATAGTCGACGGATGCTCTCTGAAACATAAATCATCGAACGCAAAATTCAATATCAAAATAAATTAACATTAAATATAGAATGTCTCATTTTAAGCAATCCAGGCTATTTTGAACACAATCAGATAGGCAAAAATACTTCAAATAAAAATTATAGGATTCTAAGAAACAAAAGAGTTGGTGATTTCGAATTTTTCAAAATGATTTTTAAAAATCTCATATTTTTGGGTACATCAATTAACACAGTTTTTTAATCCATAAAAAAGTCATTAAAAAATCATTATTTTTAAGAAACTATTAATTTAAATTTAAAGTTCATTTTCATATATATATATATATATATATATATATTAATTCCGCTATTTAGACAAACAACATAACTTAAAAG